CTATGAGTCGGTACTGACTCGATGGCACCTAACAACAACAACAATGGAAGAAGAATCCTGGTGCAGTGCTGTGGATCAGCACTAGACTGTGAACCACAAGGTTGGCAGTTCAAACCCATCAACTGCTGCTTGGAAATCCTATACGGGGTCACTATGAGTTGGAACTGATTCAACGGCATTTAACAACAACAACATGGGAGAAGATGAGTCGTGGTGTGGCGCTTCGGTTAATGCGCTGGACTGCAGGGTCAGTTTGAACTCCAAGGTCAGCAGTTTAAACTCACCAGTCACTCCTTGGAAACCCCATATAGGGTAGCTATGAGTCAGAACCGACTCAATGGCACTTAACAACAACAACATGGAAGAGGATGCTGGAGGATTGCAGGAACTATTGTAAAGGGACAGATAGTAAATATTTCAGGTGTTGCAGGTCATATAGAGTCTCTGTCACAAATTATTTTTCTTATTAGTTTTTTGTTGTTGTTATTCTTTTTACAACGCTTTAAAAACAGAAAATCCATTCTCAGCTTATGGGCTGTTCATAAACAACCAGGAATTGGATTTGGCTCATAGCTGACTGACCTCTGCTTTGGTACATTTCCTGGCAGAACAGCAACACTCAGTTAATGTTCCTACAGATAGTTCTGACATCAATGTAGTTTATGGGGTCGGGGGGATTGTGGCTGCACCTTCCTGAAAGTCAAACACTTAGTTCACAGCAAGACCAGGATGCAGTCCAGGGGGAAGCTTAAGCCATCACTTGAGGGGAACATGAGTAGAGTCCACTGACTACCCGACCCCATCCCTGGTCCCTGCTTGCCTCAACCCAGACTAGACTGGCCTGCCTGCCCTGCCTCTCACCTGCAGGTCCGGGGGGAACAGTGCGTGGTTTATTCTGGTGATGTTCTCCAGGGAGAACTGGAAGGAGTAGTTGAACATGCGGAAGTCGTTGAAGATGGCAGGGCAGTCTCGGGGGCAGATGTCCTGCTGTCCACTAAAGGTAGAGATGGTGATGGAATCGGTCCAGAAGGAGCAGGGCTGCATGCTGGTGAAGCCCCCATCGATGTACCTCTGTGGGTGGGGTGGGCAGAAATGCTCATCTGAAGTCAGGGGTCCTCATACCACTAATTGAGTTCATCAAGGAAATGGGTCCTTGGGGTCTTTCCGGAAAGGTCTTGACACTGAGGTCTGGCGTGGGTAAGTGGTATGGTCAAGGTCACCTGGTGAGTCCACAGCTGTTCTGGCCTCCCAACCCCGTGCTCCATCCTACAGACTTTTAACAGTACTGAGATTGGGACTCCCAGGCCTCTGTGAGGAGAAAGGAGGGGACACCCCCACCTTGGAGCTGCTCAGCTGCTGAGGACAAGACTGGGGAGTGGGTGTCTCCCTGTGACCTTTTTGAGAAGATGGACACAGGGTGGTCTGAGCAGGCTCTGAAACATTCATCTCCCCAGACTGCTACAGGTCCAATTTGCTTCCCTCCTTTGAGGTCAGGCACCTTGGACACTCTCCAGAGCACCTCTGGCTCCAGCCTCGCCCTCGCCACTGGGTGTCCTCCGTCAAGTCCCTCCCCATTCTGTCTCCTCACCTAAGAATGCAGGGTAACAAGTACTGAGGCTCTAATCCTCCTGCTGTGGTACTGTGGGTTAATGTGCTGGACTGCAAAGTTGGTATGAACCTCAAGGCTGGCGGTTCAAGCTCACCAGTTGCTCCTCGGAAACCCTATACAGGGTTGTTATGGGTCGAAACTGACTGGATGGCATTTAACAACAACAACAACCCTCTGGTGTACCTGAGACTTATAGGAATGATACTTACAGACTTATGTTGTTGTTGTTTTTAAGTGCCGTCGAGTTGTTTCTGACCCATGGTGACCCTGTATAGGGTTTCCAAGGAACAGCTAGTGAGATTGAACTGCCAACATTGAAGTTCAAATGGCTTTGTGCATTAACTGGTGTGGCGCATTAACCCACAGTGCCACACCAGGACTTATATGAAGCAGTTAATCTTACAGTCCAGGAACAGAGAACCCTAGGACCATCGAGGGAGAAGAGCACAAACGGAATGTGGGACCCTATCCAGAGAAGCAGCAACACCAGAGATGGAGGCAGAGATGATGACATAGATAGAGCAGCTGAGGACTCTAGACTCATGGAAAGAGAAAGGCTGTTTGCTGGCAGTCAGGAGGCATGCTTACAGAATGTGCCTTTTGGTTGTCTAAATGAATATATATTCTTGAGTGTTTTTGTATACATAAAAAGCAAAACAAAGCAAACAAACAAAAACAGAGGGAATAGGAGCAAATACTATTAAATGATGACGCATGGAGGGGATTATAATCATTGCAATAAAACAAAATACAATTGGATGAGTGCAAAATTCACGTTCTCCCATTTAAACTATCACTCAATTCACAATAAAAACTTTAAAACAAACAACAAAACAGAAGAAACTTTGTAACTTTTGGACATCCCACTGCATTTGGAGACCACCCTACTGCTGTTCCAGATGTGGGCCAGAGGGACCATGAGGGTCTCCTGGGTTCTTACTCTCCCCTTCACCACGCAATAGCACTCACCTCACCACGGTAGGTTGGAGGGATGAGGCCGCAGTACACAGGGACGAAGCAGCTGCAATACAGAGCCTGTGAGGAGAGAAAGAGGGTAAGATGCCAAAGGGCCTGGGGGCTGTTTGGAAAAGTCTCCTTGTAGGCCACTGGTCTTCCTTGAACCCAAGGAGTTTGGGAACTCTGGTTTTCTGACAAGCCAACCCAGCTGCTGAGCTTCCTGCAGAATCTGGTGGGCCCCTATTAAGCCACATTGCAGGCCAGGTTCTCTTCTGCCTCATCCTGCCCCCTGCACTCTGCCACCCCCTGCTCACAGATGTCTGTCCACAACCTGTCCCCAAGGAACATCATGGAGGTAGGCTGGTCACTTGCCTCCAGTCTCTCCCTCCTAAGCTTTAGATTCTCATTGGTCCCTCTGGAGAAAATCATCCCTCAAGCAAAGATGGGTGCTAAGAATACCAGTGTAATGTGAGTTGGATGGAGGAGGTGGCCATGTTCGCTAACTACTCACACACACACACACACACACACACACACACACACCCAACACACCTCACTTAAGACCCCAGCCAGGCCAACATGCGGATGTGAAGATAGATGTGAAAGGCCCTATATTCTGGAGGAGGGGAGTGGAAAAGGGATCCGGAGCTACGTGATTTAACTCCTTTTTCCTGAAAGAAAATGGAACATATTTAGGGTACTCCCCCAAGGAGCTCTGGTAGCATAGTGGTTATGAATCAGGCTGCTAACCTCAGGGTCAGCAGTTTGAAACTACCAGCTGTTCCATGAGAGAAAGTTTTACAGCCTCAGAAACCCCGTACAGGGTCGCTATGAGTCGGAACCGACTCCACGGCACATAACCACCACCGTAATGATAGGAGTCCTGGTGTGGTGCTGTAGTATAAGCATAGAACCGCAAGGTTGGTTTGAACCACAAGGTTGACAGTTCAAGCTCACTGGTCGCTTGTTGGAAACCCTATACTGGGTTGTTATGAGTCTTAACTGACTGGATGGCACTTAACACCAACAACAACCAGTAATAACTCATAACTGAAACGCCCATCAACGAGTGAATGCGTTTAAAGAGCTTAGAACAGTGCACTATTTAGGCCATTTTTCTAAGTGGTACTCCCATTCAGTGATCCTTTATCAAGGGCTTGTGTTAGGTTACTAATGAAAGGCTGCTGGTTCCAATCCACCTAGAGGTGCCATGAAAGAAAAGCTTGGCATACAGTTTTACTCTAACATAAATGGGAGTTACCATGAGTCAGAATGAACTTGGTTGGCTGGTTGGTTGGTTATGTGCTGTGGAGTCAGTTCCGACTCATAGCAACCCTGTACAGGGTTTCCGAGGCTGTAAATCTTTATGGGAGCAGAAAGCCTCATCTTTCTCCCATAGAACAGCTGGTAATAATGGTAGTTTTGAACTGCTGACCTTGTGGTTCACAGCCCGATTCGTAACCACTATGCTAACAGAGCTCCTTAGAATGAACTTAACAACAGCAAAAAATTTTTTCTTATCAAGGATCACTGGAAGGGAGGAGGCAGAAGAGGGAAACTGAGGGCCCCTCTCCACTGACTATTCTAGAAAACAGTGAGTAACTTCAGGTAGGTGCATACGGCAACTCAGGGTGAGAGGCTCTGAAGAAGACACGAGACCTCTACAGGCTATACCTGGTCCTTTGAGAAGCACAGAGGTCTGGGCCTCTGGGGATGCTGGGCATGGAAGCATGAAGTACAGTGATCAAATCTGATTTACCTTGGAGTTCTCTGTGTCCGGGGTGTCTCCTCTAACACTGTGCTGGCATAGAACAATAGATGCCAGGAAGCAAGAGGGAAGCAGGAAATAGAAACAAGGAAGTGAGGCAGACAGGTGGACCGTCAGTCAAGTTGGAGCAGAAACAATTCCAACCTTCTCTCAACTCCTGCCTCCACAGTCTCATCCCATCCCCTCCCAGGGAAAAAACCTGCCTTCCTGGGCCCAGATTCCACCCACTCCAGGACCAGCGTTTGCCTTCCCAGCCCTAGACTACACTTTCCCTTCAGTTCTTCCTTCCTCTCCCCCTTCACAGCCCCACCAATTTTCCCTTCCCAGACCCTGCCTTCCGGGGCCCCTCTTGCCTCGATGAGCTCTTCCTTGGAAGTGTACTCTGAAACCACCACATTCTCTCCATCTGAAAGCCGGGTGAGGCTCACATGCAGCTTCCCGGAGGCGACTTTGTAAGAATCCTCAGGCAGAGTCTGATACAAAAACTGCCTCATCATGGGCACCATCTTGCAGGATGGGGACAATGGCCCCAGGAAGTATTTCTTCACCTCAGCCACACCCATGTTGAGGACTCTGAGGTACTCATCTGCGGAGGAAGCCGAGAAAGGAAGGATGGTGATCATCCTTACACAATAGACTGTGGTTTACAGTCATTCCGTCATCCCATCCTGCATCCGACAATGCGAAAAGTTAGAAATCTAAAGCTGGGAAAGTTTTGAATTTGATCTACCATTTTGCATATAGGGAAACTAAGGCGCTAAAGAATGAAGTCACTTGCCCTAGAAAGCCCACAGCTGATGGAGAGCAGAACTAGACCCAAGAGTTGCTACATGACAGAGCTTTTCACATGAAGCCTAAAGCAATGTTTGCCTACCCCAGCTTCCTATCACCATACTTGAAATGCCATCTCCACAGCCATGTTCTTTTGGGGTCCCTAGGTCTACATGAGGCTCCTATTAGAACACACCGATACCATTGAAAGTCTTTGCCACGTGACTCCCTGGAATTTGCTTGGTGCCCAATAAGTCTGTGGAATAAGGAGGGTGCTGGTCACGAGACAGGTGATTTGTGAGGAGATGAATTTGGCCTTGAGACCATTGCACCATCTCCCCCTTTGTGACCCTTGATATAGGCCTGAGATGGGGGCAGTGGTAGTTCAGTGTGAGAATTCTCACCTTCCATGTGGGTGACTCAAGTTTGATTCCCAGCCAACCCACTTTATGTATGGCCACCATCCACGCCTGTCAGTGGAGGTTTGTGTGTTGCTATGATGCAACACACAACTTCCAGACTAAGAAGAACTAGGAAAAAGTCTAGGTGATCTACTTCTGAAAATCAAGAACTCCATGGATCCCAACACTCTGATCCCATTGTGTATGGAGTAACTACAAGTCAGGGGCCCAACTCCACAGCCCATAACAACCTCATAAGACCTGAGGGAAAGAAAGAGGAGGTACTATTTTCACAAAAGAGTTTGTGAGATACCCCGCAGGTATGATGCAGGTCTTTCTGGGAATGGGAGACAAAACTTTCCCCTTCTTCAAAGAGGAATGGGGCCAGGGCAAAGGCTTACAAGGCCGTGTAGGGCCTGGAGGACAGATGTGCTGTTCAGAGTCTGGTAGAGGAGGGTATGAACCCCACCTCCAAACCCCAGAATGTACGGGCTACAAGCTTATTAATTGCATCTTACTTAATCCTCACAGTAATATTATGAAGCTATTTCTACTCTCGTTTCATGATAAGGAAACAGGCTGGGAAAGGCCAAATAAGTAGCTCAGGTCCAACCATTTAGTAGGTGCACAAAGAGTGATTTTAACCGGGAATCCAGGCAGAGCCAGACACAGGTTCAACGGAAAGCCTCCTGGGTCTGATGCTTGCCTATGTCCATGCCTGCCCCTGCTTCTTGCTGACCAATGCTAATTTCGATCTTGTGCAAACCTTCTGGGGAAATCTGGAGTGGAACCAGCTCTCCAAAAGATTGATTTTATATTTTTTGTTTTTTAAGTTGTGAACCATCCGATACAGAGTAGTTAGTACCATTTGTAATGGCTGCTTGGGAATTTGCAATCACGAGCTCTTTGCCACTGGAGGAAACCAAGCAGAAGCTGGGCCAATCCCTCGGTCAGATAATATAGGCGGTAAGGGCTAAAATTTGTTTCAACTTTGAGATTCAGGGATTCTCACAAGTGCCATACAATAGATCTGTTAAGTGATCATGAAAGATGTTACTCTTCTATTTATAAAGCAGCTGAGGCACAGAGAGGTTAAGTGACTTGCCTGAAGGCACACAGCAACATTAGGATACACCAAACCTAAGAATGCCTTCTTCACCTCTACTTTTTACAGTCCACGTATTATTCCACACTTATTCTGGAAGCAGACGGGATAAAGAACTTCGGCACCATTTTACAGATGTGGAAACCAAGGCAGAGACAAGCTGTGTCTTATCTGAGGTTGGACAACCAGGAAATGATATTCTTTCACTCCAAACCCCATCTTATTTCCCTAGCTATTAGAGTGATTCCAGGACTGAGCCCCAAGAGCAGGAGGCTGAGCCTGGGTTGCCATGGTGATGGCCTTTTCTCAGCAACCTGCACCACACACCTGCATATGTGTGGTGGTGACCAACCAGAACAGCAGGAGCATCTTAATTACTCCTTCCAGGGAAGGGTGCCCCTGGGAAGTGGGATGGCTCTGTAGTTTTAGCAAGGTTAGCTTTTTTCCATGTGTTGACATACAAGTTGTTTTCCCTCACAGGAGACCAGAAGCCAACCTGCAGCAGGTTCTGAAGTAACTGAACATTTGGATACCACAGTGTTGTATCACTGAGGTCTCCCCTAGTGGGAATGGGGATTTTAATCAGGTAGGGGCTCACTGCTTTTGGAATTCTTGATGAGCGACTTGTATTGGCCTGCCAAAGGTCAGTGACCTTTCCCATAATGCCTCAGAGTCAGGAGCACCTGATCCTTACGTGCCCATACACTCCTAGCAGAGGCACTGACTGGAACAGGTGGAAAAGAATTTGTTCTTATAGCACAAGCAATGCATGTTCATTTTGGGTGAAATAATTTTTTAAAATGCAGATAAGCCAAAAGAAGGAAAATTAAAATGTGAAATCCCTCCACCCAGAGATTGGCATTCAGTCTCTGTCCTCCTAGGCTATAGATTTTATTTTTACATGGGATCATACAACAATTGTGAGGCTGACAGTGTTTTGTTCTGTTGTACGTAAGGTTACTATGAGTTGGTACCGATTCAATGGCACCTGACCACAACGACAACATCGGGTCATGTTGTGAGCTATCACAACAATGCACTCAAACCTAGAATGACACAGGACCATTGTACACAGGTTCGCTATGAATCAGAGCTGACTTGGTGGCACATAATATATATATGTGTGTGCGTGCATGTATGTATGTATCCATGTAGATATGTGTGTGTGTGTATTCCATTATATAGATATATGGGCTTCAAAAAGTTTGTGGGAAAATCCCATTATCTTTCAATTCCATTTTTCCATGACTTTTATGAAGCCCCTTCGTAATTCATCTATTTTGTAACTTGCTTGTTTCACCTAATATTGTGAATGTATTTCCATATCACTACTGTAAAGTTATACCATTATTTATGGAACAAGTTCCCCAATTATAAAAAAAACTGCCATAAACTATTTGCTATAAGTTGGAAACTCCTCATGGGCAGGGTTGGTTCTTACTCACCTAGGTTCACCAGGCCTCCCAGGGTACTTGATGGGTGCTCAGTGCTTGTTCCATGTGTGAGAAAAGGAAAATAAAAATGTGGGAGAAAGAAAAAGCAAACAATGGAGATGCTCAAAGAGAAGAGCTATTTGACCTAATTACTTAACAAAAGCTTAAAGGCAAGATCAGATCATGGATAACAGAACTAACACTATTTGTTAGCATGGTCTATTCACCAGGTTTTATGAGACTGTGTCAAGAATTCCAGAAGAAATAATAAGCTATGGACAACATTGTGAAGTATGAGTATTCTGGAACACTTAATTGTGCTCATGAGGAATCTCTGTACATGGACCAAGAGGCAGTTGTTCCAACAGAACATGAGAACACCGAATGGTTTCAAATTAAGAAAGGTGTGCAACAGGGTTGTATTCTTTCATCATACTAACTCAACCTGTATACTGAGCAAATAATCCAAGAAAATGGATTATATGAAGAAAAATGTGGCATCAGGTTTAGAGGAAGACTCATTAACAACCTGCGATATGCACATGATGCAACCTTGCTTGCTGAAAGTGAAGAAGACTTAAAATATTTACTGATGAAGATCAAATAACACAGCCTTCAGTATGGATTGCATCTCAGTGTAAAGAAAACAAAAATCCTCACCACTGGACCAATAAACAACATTCTTATCAACGGAGGAAAATTGAAGTTGTTAAGGACTTCATTCTTCTTGGATCAACTATCAACACTTGTAGAAGCAGCAGTCAAGAAATCAAACAATGTACTGCATTAGGCAAATCTGCTGCACAAGACCTTTTTAAAGTGTTGAAGAACAAAGATGTCAGCTTGAAGACTAAGGTACGCCTGACCCAAGCCATGGTGTTTTCAATGACCTCATATGCATGTGAAAGCTGGACAGTGAATAAGGAAGACCGTAGAAGAATTGATGCTTTTGAGTTACGTCATTGGAGGAGAATATTGAAAGTGCCATGGGCTACCAAAATAACCAGCAGATCTGTGTTGGAAGAAGTGCAGCCAGAGTGCTCCTTGGAGGCTAGGATGGCCAAACGTCGTCTCTCATACTTTGGACATATTGTCAGGAGGGACCAGTTACTCGAGAAGCATATCATGTTTGGTAAGATGGAGGGCCAGAGAAAAAGAGGAAGACCCCCAGTGGAATGGATTGGCAAAGTGGCAGCATCAATACACTCAAGTTTGGCAACGATAATGAGGTTGGCCCAGGATCAGGCAGTGTTTCATTCTGCTGTGCGTAAGGTCGCTATGGGTCGGTACCAACTCAATGGCACCTAACAACAATAACAACAAAGATCCTGAGACTGGGACGATTTTAAAAAGCATCAGAAAACCATATTTCTACTTAGAGAATCTTCTCTTTTCTGCAACCAATTCCATATCTTGGAAAGAGCTCAGGCTTTGGAGTCAGACGGATTTGGCTCAAATCCCAGCTTCATCACAGACTACATGGGTCATGAATGGCAAGTTAAATAGTGTTTTTCAGTCTCAGTTTTGCCACTTGTAAAATGGGGATAATAATGGTTACTTTATTAGCTTGCTAAGAATAAGATTTTTTAAAACATGCCTGCACATGCTGGATACTGACTGGTTATGCCAGTAATTCTTCATGTGATCTTGGACAAGATCTCTTGATGTCTCTGACGTTCTGCTATCTCATCTGAACAGGGAGATTATGATCCCTGCCTACATCCTTATGAAAATGTGGTCAGGCTTACATGCAGATGTAAACATGCAAAGTTAAGAGCCCCATGTAGAAGGAAGAGCATACTCCATTTCAGAGCATGGTAGGAAAATGGGTTATGTGTGATGTAATGGAGCTATAGAAACAGCAGTACATCCTTTC